ACGAATATTTTTTGGTTGATTTTTATCGAAAGACGGACCGCCCGCTGGCGGCACCCGTCCTTTTTTTGTGTACCTTCCTTTTATCATGTTTGTAACGATCTATACACGTATACACCTATATATCTACATGTATATATTTGTACGCACTTTTGAATATTGTATAGGCCGTATGCGGTCGTTGGAGGATGCGCACGGAATCCGGCGTACGTCCGCGTGTTGTTTGCCCTTTCCTTTCGTTCTCTTTACATATACATACTTATATATACATATATATATAGATTTTTTTTATGCCGTCCTTAGCGAACCTCGTACCGAATGGTTCTCGAATCAACGTGTTTTTCGCTTACATTTGCTACTTTCGCTGGTTTACCGTTTTCCGAGCTTTCCTTTCGTCCTCCTCCACTTTTCTCGATAGCTCGGTCTCCTCGGTTTTTTCTTTTTATTTTTTTTCGTTAACCGCGAACCAGTTCTCCCCATTTTCGGTTCTCTTTTAACGCCTCGTGACAACTCACGGATTGATGGTCGCGATATTTGTGTTCCCCTGTTTTGCCTTTTTTAGGCGGGATCGTAAGATTCTTTTGGTAGAGATGTGAGTTGTGTCGGTTAGACGTCGTTGTGCCATTTACTTGTTGTGTTCAGAATAGACGAGGATAATAGATTTCGAGCGTATACGAAGGAGTGGACTGCTAGATCCAGTAACCAGCTGTTCTTGTTTTGCTCTGGAAATTTCGTGTTTAACGTAGGGGAAAGAAAGATATTAGCAGCACTGATAATATTCGTCGTAGCGTGACCACTAATATCTAACGTTCTCGTGATGCACAAGAAAGTACGTTGAACTGGAATTGTATCGCTGCCCCCGGGAGCGAAGCAGTAGATTTACTCGTTGGTACGGTTAGCATTATTTATTTGTTCGGTAGTTCAGTGTTCGACCGTTTAATTTTTGGGATTTTCTGAAGGATATTATAGTTTTTATCCAGAATAATAATATTATCGATACGTAGTCGTATAATCGCGGATCATGTATATTGAGAGGAATTTTTCGGAGTCGTTAGACGGCTGCCTCGAATATACTCATGTTAACGATCAAATATCACGTAATTGCAATAAATTATAATAGAGATTTTTTATCGTCGATACATAAAGTATAGCATAGATTTATAGTATTTTAACGAAATGGATATCGACGCGACCATTTAATTAACAATCTAATATTACATAAACTAAAGGAATAAGCCTAATGTAAGGTCACGGTAATTTTAGCATACTTCTTTTATCGTGTATTCTGTGACCATTTTAAGGGACACTCGCGAGAGGAACTAAATTCGTTAGATCGCAGATGCGCGTCGTTACAGTTCATAATGAATATGCACTTCGCTGTAGAAGTTTAATAAAATTTTTACTCTATTTTCCAACGCGATTCTTGCCGAAAACGATGAAATTTCGTTTTAATACAATTTCCCAACGTACGTAATCACATTCTCGTTGGAATAATGAAATCTCCGTTTAATTGCCATTTTAAGAACCAATCCATCGCATTCGCGTAACTGTTCGCAATATGCACGCTGGGTTACCGGCGGATCTGTTTTAATCACTTTTTTCCCCACCTTTCTCTTTTAACGATTCCGAAACATCGAACACGCGAGCTCGCGCGGCTTCAATCCGTAAGCTCTTACGAGAACAGCTTTTAAATCCCTTT